TAGATGTCTAGACCTGGTATCGGATGATTATTCAATGTTTGGACTTATGGTAAAGGTTTGCACTTAAAGCCTAGTCATAAGTAATCCAGCTAATTCAAAGACTAGAAACAAAAGAGTCTCAAGCCAATTTAGGAAGAAAGAAGAGTAAAGCTAATCTCAAAAGCATTCCTCATGTATTAAGCCCTATCTCAGCGTGCGACCCAGCTGATAAAGTGTTCTGGCCTATAACAAGAGCCTTACGCTGCACTAGATTCTTTATTCTAAACTGCTGGCTGAGAAAAGAAGGTTTGCAAAGCTCATTTCAGAAACAAGATAATAAACAAGAGTTAGAAATACCTCAGAGGATCCAGTTTCATTGTTTAAATAAAATAATCCTCAGAACTACCATGTACAAGGTACTAAACAATTTAATCCTCACCACAATTTCTACTTAAAAGGTAAGAAATCTGGATCTCAGACAGAAGGACTAACACATCCAAGATCTCTTTGCTAGTGAGTGGTAGAGCCAGGATTCAAATAGGCCTGGCTAATTACAAAGCTGCACTCTTAACAACTTGTGGATGGTACTGCTATTCAGTGATGCAGGAAACATTGGAGAATCAGCAATTTGGAGTGGGAGACAAGAGAAAAATGGGTTTACCTACAGACTCATTCCATCATATATCCCATAGAACTGGATCTGCTTAAAATTCCTTTCTTCATATTGTACTCAAAACCCCTTGCATAGGTTAAGACCTATGTACGTGTTCTAGTTATTGCCTATCTCACCAATCTTATCTCTTGCCATTCTCTCTCTCACTCATAGTGCTCCAGCAACAGTAATTTTGACAGTTTCTAGATCTCACCATTCTCTTCCTTGCCTCAGAGCCTTTGTACTTGCTGTTCTCAGTGCCTGGAATAGTTTCTTTTCGATCTTTCAAATCTTATCTCTCAGGTCTCAACTTAAATATCACTTCTTCAAAGAGTTCTTCTTTGCCCACTTCATCTAAAATAGCCAACTCTCTCCTCTTCTATCACATGCTCCCCCATCATTATTACAACAGTATATTTCTTTGACTAAACTTACCACTAGCTGTAAATATTTTCTTTATTTACATGTTTACTTTCTTCCTGCTTCACTAAACTGTAAGTTCCATGAGGGCTGAAGGCCTGCCCTATTTATCTAGACTAGTTTAAGGCTGGGTTTCCAGTGGCTACTCAGGAGATACCAGTTGGAGGGATAGATAAAATGTAAGTATTATGCATTGGGATCTGAAGAACAGAAGAGAAATCTGGGCTTACTTATATATTTGGAAATAATTAGGCATAAAGGTGGTATGTGAATCTACAGATGTGAATGGGCTTGTTCACTCACAGAGAATGCACAGGAAGATAAGAGAAATAAGCCTAAGCCAGAAGAATCCTAATATGGGAGTAACTATCATCCAAGATCATCCACAATGATTCTCACTTCTCGGTATTCAAGCTGGTGTGTGGTCTCCTCCCACAGTGAATAAGGCTGATCTGTGTAACTAGTAAGATATTTAAATTGTGGCAGAGTTTGACTTACATGTCTAGATCACAAAAGATATTGTGGGTTCCTTCTTCCTCTCTCTTAGATCACTCATCCTAGAGCAAGTCAAATGCCATGTCATAAAAACATTGAAGCCTTCCTATGAAGAGATCCACATGACAAGAAACTGGTGTCTCCTGACAATTGCCAGCACCAGCTTGCCTAAACATGAATGAACCAATGGAAGCAAATCCCCCAACCCTGAGACAAGCTATCAAGTGACTGGAGCTTTGGCCAGCATCTTGTTTACAATCTCATGAGAGATCCAAGAGAGAAACACCCAACTAAGCCACTCCCAAATTTGTTTTAAAAACTTATCCCAAAACTTAGTGTTTCAGGAAACAATATGTTCTTAATAAAAAGTTTGTCCAGTAAAAGAATACCCCAAATTTATCTTACAAATTTAACAAAATTTCATATCACATCTCTTTCAGCATTATCTTAGAGTAAATCGTCCTTTACAATGTTGGCTTATATTCTTGGAGAAAACAATTACATTTTTTTTAAAAAAGAGTCAAGTTTAGCAAAATCAGAGACCAGGCAGCCAATATGTAACAAACAGATGGCAAAAGAGGTACAATATATTAAACAACAATCTTTTAATGCAGGGCATTTAAGACTACAGAAACAGTTGTAGAAATAAAAAGATATACAATTCCATGAACAAAATTTTACATTTCAAATGATTAGTCTAGCTTGCTTCTCAAGAAAAAAAGAATAAGAACATCCCTTGTTGAGTATCTGTTAAGCGTCAGGCTCTGAACTATGAGCTTTACATATGTTATCTCTTTTAATAACCCTGTGAAGTAAATATTATTGGCCCCATTTTGACTTGCCCAATAGAGCTTCCTCATCTCAGCTTCTCAGTCCTTTTTTGCTTGTGTTTTTAAATTTAGGTTACAGAACTGTCATTTGGAGAGCATTGGGTTCAGACGAGGTGAATCTTCTTTTAAACCCCTCTTAGGAATGAAATACTCTCTTCAAAGGGAAAAACATTAGATAATGAAGCAAGGAGTCCTTTGAGGGGGACAATAAAAATTTAGATTTTCAAGTGGAGCAGCTAAAGTTTTAAAGTATACATATTTAGAATATATAAGGAATAAATAATATTGTGTTTGAGCTGGAAGGACCTGAGAGAACATTTATCCATGCCCTCTTATTTTACACAGAACAAGAAATGGGATACTTTAGCTCAGCATAATCTGTCGAGACTACATGGTGGGTTAGTAGCCCAAGCAGAACTAGAAACAGCAAAGCTGGCCCCGTTAGAGCTACAACTGTGCTTGGCACTTAGTAGATGCTCAGTAAACTAGATTAGGCTATGATGCATCATCCGAAAACAAGCACAGACCCACCAATATTGACTAAGAACTCCGAGCCTCTCCCTGGAAACCTGTTGTGTTCACTTTCTTTCTTTCCAAGCCATTAGCATCAAGAGTTAAACTGTAGAACAGCACCTAGCTTTGGCTACATCGAAGAGAAGAGAGCTGGGAACATTGCCATTTCCTTAAGAGTATGCTCCAGTTGTCTATTTTTGCATTAAAAATCACCTCAGGGCCGGGCGCAGTGGCTCACACCTGTAATCCCAACACTTTGGGAGGCTGAGGTGGGCAGATCATTTGAGGTCAGGAATTCAGGACCAGCCTGACCAACATGGTGAAACTCCATCTCTACTGAAATACAAAAATTAGCCAGGCATGGTGGCAGGTGCCTGTAATCTCAGCTACTTGGGACGCTGAGGCAGAAGAATCACTTGAACCCAGGAGGCGGAAGTTCACACCACTGCACTCCAGCCTGGGCAACAGAGTGAGACTGTGTCTCCAAAAAAATAAAAAAATCACCTCAAAAACTTAGTGGCTTAAAAAACAGTAATCATTTATTTTGCTTACAAATCTAAAATTTGGGCAGGGATCAACAGGAATCATTAACCTGTGCTCCAGACAATGTCATCAAGGGCAGCTCAACTGAGGGAGGGCTAGAGGACCTGCTTTCAAGATGACTCACTCATATGGCTGGCAAGTGGGAACTGGCTATCAACTAGAAGTTCAACTAGAGCTATGTGCAGGTCACCATGAGGGGTTTTGCACTGGCTGCTTAGGTTTCCTTGTGGCATGATAGCTGGGTTCCAAGAGCAATTATCCTAAGAGATAGGAAATAGAAGCTGCTAGCTTCTTAAAGCCCAAGCCAGAAATGGGCACAGTGGGACTTTCATTGTGTTCTATTAGTCAAACAGTCACAAGGCCCTAATTCAAGGAAAAGGGACAAAGATCCTTAATGAAAGGGTATCAGAGAATCGATTGGTCATGTTTTAAAGCCATTACAAGGGTACTTTTTAACTGCAAATGATTCCATTTTGCTGATATGGTTAAGAAATGAACATTATTAGAGATAAGTCATAGATATCAAAATTATAATCTATTCAGAGATATTAATCCCTTCACCATATACTAATCAGCTTAGATAGATGACAGTCCTACAATTAATGCTCAGTCTTTGCCTCCATTTACTCTTCCACATTAAGGGATAATAATAAGCTCTCTTATGGGGAACAAGAAGGCTTATTTATAACAATAAAAGCAGAATGTACTTATAATTACCTTTAAAAATACTTATTAATGGTGAGTTATCTGTAAAATGTCATACACAAGTGAAAGGTATAATTATTATATGCTTAAATAATTTTGCAACATGGAGCCTTTGCAGTTTACTTGGACAACTATCTGTGCCTGAATTGCAGAAGCTTCCAATTAATTTTACTGAACACAGTTAAACATTAATCCAATTTTTAAAGGATAATTATTATACAATCCTCTTAAGTATTCAATTGACAAGAAAAAAAGATTTGTGGCTTTTAACGTTTACAAAAGGAGCAATATCTGACGAATACCACAGAATTTCAGATCTTCTTTGCAAATAAATCACGTTTTACAATATATTTCTAGGTCAATATGCAACATATTCATTCAGATTTCCCCATAACAGTCCTAGGAATTGAATTGTATCCAGCAGCAGACCCTTTCTAACAATATTTACACGTATGTTTATTGTGGCACTATTCACAATAGCAAAGACTTGGAATCAACCCAAATGTCCATCAGTCACAGACTGGATTAAGAAAATGTGGCACATATACACCATAGAATACTATGCAGTCATAAAAAAGGATGAGTTTGTGTCCTTTGTAGGGACATGGATGCAGCTGGAAACCATCATTCTCAGCAAACTATCGCAAGAACAGAAAACCAAACACCGCATGTTCTCACTCATAGGTGGAAACTGAACAATGAGATCACCTGGACTCGGGAAGGGGAACATCATACACCGGGGCCTGTCATGGGGAGGGGGGAGGGGGGAGGGATTGCATTGGGAGTTATACCTGATGTAAATGACGAGTTGTGAGTGCTGACGAGTTGATGGGTGCAGCACACCAACATGGCACAAGTATACATATGTAACACCTGCACGTTATCCACATGTACCCTAGAACTTAAAGTATTAAAAAAAAAAAAAAAGAAAGAAATAGGAGAATTGAGTTGCTTTTCTTGCTATAACAAACAGGAAATTTTGAAGTTTAAGGTGATGTGAGTGAAGATCTTAAAACTAGTTCTGCTTATTAGGAGGAGACAGACAAAACTAAACTATATTTAGTTTACAAGCACAGTAACCAATTGGGATTTTCCCACAGGGGTCCTAGGATTTAGGTAAAACGACTTTCTGTTAGGCAATTTAGACCACAGAAAGTAATAACTTCCTCAACTCAGCCACTTATGGAAAGATTGGTTAAATAAGATGAGATTTGTCCAAGCTAAAAATGGGACCTGCAGCTGGGAGGTTGGTTTCTCAGGGACCAGAAGAGAGGGAGCTTTATTACCCAGTTAAGCTTTCTTATTTCAAGAAAACAAAATGAGTATAAAACATGAGTCATACTCAACCAGCCAGTGGGCCTTATTTATGCATGTGTATTTTATGCACATACAGTGATTTAAAAAGCAATGTTAGTTTCATTGTCATCCACTTCACTTATTTCTGTATGTTACACATACTTCCTACAGAATTTTAAGTTTCCTATCTAGAGAATTACTGGATTATTATACATTTCTTTTTAAGGACTTCTCAGAGTACATTTGGGGTCAAGCTTTTCTAAGCCAACTAAAAGATGACACTATCTACCCTAAATCAGACTTTGTGCGAGAGAGAATCCAAGTGGATGATGAATACAGTCACCAGAAGTATGGCCTCTACCATCCCATAAGACTATAGCCTCTACACTGGACTTTTCCCTGACCCACTAGCACCTTCTCTGTCAAGTTTCCTGCTATCCTTTACTCACTAACACTTAGGAGATGGTGAAATGCTGAGAAGGATTCTTAAGAAATGAAATGCAGGAAGTTAAAACCCAGAGGTGAATATAGACTACAAATTATAAATACACATGCAAACAAGTTTATAAGTTAGAGCAAAAAGAAAGATGGGAGAGGGGTGGGCATTCTGAACACAAAAAGGGGATAACCACTTTAATCTAAATATACTCCAAGACCAAGCCTGAATGATCTTAGTTACCCAGAAACTTTCAACAAAACAGGCCTAGGCTTTTAACGGCCCGGGCTTTGATTGTGACAATCTGCTTAGTACAAATGACCAAACTGGAAAGCCATGATCATGGTTTGTTATATAAAACATTTCCCTTCATTTGCTAATGTCAAAACATTCTGTCACTTGTTAAATTACAAATTATGAGCCAATTTTTGAGCATGCCCTCACCAAGGTTTAGAGAAGTAGAGTAGTTGTGAAGGAATTAAAAAACATGCATTGACTATAGATTTTGCCAAAATCCATAAAACTGAAGGGTTTTCTTTTTAATAGCTTCCCTAGCAAACCACATACTGTGCTCACTGAAGCAAAAAGTAAAAAGAAATGACTGAGCGATATTAAAAGGTGGAGAGCCAGATCCTTTTCTCTATAGTGTTTTAATGTGAAAATAAAAGGTACCGGGTAACCCTTGGCTCCTCCAGCCGGGACACCAGCGCCATGTCCTTCCTCCTGCTGCCAGAACAAAGAGTCACCAGAGAGCCCATGCCCTCCCCATAGGAAGAAAAAATTTTAAGGTAAAACTTCCAGCCAGATTTTCCAATCTCACATTTTCAAACAAAGCAGTCTGCTTGTCTGCAAGAAAGTTTAGTGAAGCAGATTTTGTTTCAGATTTGGACTAAAGATAATACTGCTTCCATCCATTCAGGTTGCATGGAGACGGTTGTTCTTTTCAACAAGATGTTGTTTTGTTTACGGTCCAATATATTCAAATATTTAAAAGTCTAGACTAGACTTTGAAATAAAGAATGATGCTGCAAAATATCCTGAATTCCCTGGAATTCTTGGACTCACATTAAGATGTCCAAATGCACCCCTCACTGGGCATATGGTAAAGGGTATAGAGTCAACACTATAGTAGGGCCTTACAAACAATAACTTGAAAATCACTCAATATCTGTATGAAGCATAACTGGTATCAATAGAAAATACAATTTTTCTTACATTTCAGGTTCAAAATTCTCCTGGTGGAAATACTATTTCCCTTACTCCCCTATGCCTGCCTTCCCCTCTACCACCATCACTAACAGGTAAAAAAGAGGACCTATGGCCACCTGCAACCTGTACATTTTATATATTATCTATTTAGTGGATTTATCCAGTTTGTTAACAACAGATATACTTAAATACATTCCAATATGCCTCACATTAACATATCCCTTTTTTTCTTGTCTACACTTTATTTCTATACAAAACAAAATGTTTCCCCCCAAGCACAGTTGAAAACTATCACCCATCATGTGTTATACAGGTGCCCGTGCATTCTCTCGCTTTCAGGTATCTGTATACAAAGACTTTTCTAATCACAACACAAGTTATTTTTAAACTGTCTTTTTCCTCAGGCAAAGAGCATGATTCCTTAGCAATGGAATACACATAACATCTACAAACAGTGGGAAGATGTAACTTAAAATGAAAAGTATCTTTTCTCAATGCTCAACTAGCATTGGTGGAATTTTCAAAGTTCAAGAACTGGAGTTGCCAATGAATAATAGAGAGGAGTCCAAGGGTATGTACAAGAAAAGATGGACAGTTTTATTCCTGTCAACCTTAGATACAGTTCCATGCAGCTCTTAGAAGTGTCTGCCTGGGTCAGATGGTCAGGGTGCTCTAAAATCCTCACAGGTTTTCCTTTTCTTTTCTTCTTTTCATCAATATGAGAATATTTCTCCTTTCACATACTATTAAAGGATCTTCTGCTATTGAACTATTTCTTACAGCATGTTCTTTCTTTGTTCAACTGGATTCCTTTTAATATGTGAAAAAGTGATAGTCTCACTTTATTTATATAATAAAGACAGACTATAGAATCAGATTTCCTGTACTGGAGTCTCAGTTCCAACATTTGTTAGTTGTATGACCTTGGGCAAGTCACTCAAATTCTTTGTGCCTCAGTTTCCTCATAATGGAAATAATAAAAGAACTTCAGAGGGTTGCTGAAAAGATTCCATTTTAAAAGGTAGGCAAATCATTTAATAAGGTATGTTGTACTTAGTAAATGTTCCATCGATACTGACAAATAACTAAAAATCTTTTTTTTTTTTTTTTTTTTTTTTTTTTGAGACACAGTCTCACTCTGTTGCCAGGCTGGAGGGCAGTGGCACGATTTTGGCTCACTGAAACCTCCGCCTCCTGGGTTCAAGTGATTCTCCTGCCTCAGCCTCCCGAGTAGGTGGGACTACAGGTGCGTGCCACCACGCCCAGCTAATTTTTGTATTTTTAGTAAAGACGGGGTTTCACCATGTTGGCTAGGATGGTTTCTATCTCTTTCGTGATCTGCCTGCCTCAGGCTCCCAAAGTACTGGGATTTTGGTGCCCGGCCAAAAATCATTTTATACAACTGAGTGGGTTTTTTTTGCTGATGCTGTTTTCTTAATTATAGTGCTTACGTATGCTTTCTAAACATATATCTTTTAGACTTCGGTCTAGTTTTCTTTACTACTTAACCTAATTTAGTTCACCTGCATCACTTTAGTATTCAATTACTTAAAATTATAACACTTACCTGTGGTTTCATCTCAGAACTGTAGCTCTCATATTTGCAACAAGAAAAAAGCTGGACCAACAGCACACTAACAGCTTTTTGTGAACCCATCAGAAAGCTAAAGTCAAAGGATAATAGTCTTCCTGAAATCTGGAGAGATGTGGGGTACCTATGTAAAAATTAGAGGGGTGTGGTGGACACAGGAATCATAAAATCAGCCAGTCTTTTTGCTGAAATACTTTTCTAGTAGTGCCATGGGTGATTTTAAAATAGTCTTGGTCCTTTTCTTCATTCCCTTGCACACGCTGTCTCCTCTTCTCCGTGACTCTGAAGGAAGAATGGAAAGGAGAGAAACATTAAGGAAGTCCTGGGCTAGACAAAGTGAAACTGCTAAATAAGCACTGATAATAAAATTTGATCCCTCCAAATCAGACCTAATACTCGAACTTAGGCATCGTTAATCTAGAATTTTAAATTACTTTCATGGCAAAACAACCAATAGAACCAAAGACAGGTATGCAAAAGTAATCAAAAAGCATTTACCCCTACCTACTTTATCCAACACCCCTGGGATAAGAGTCCTCATGTGACACCACAATAATCCAAACTGCTACCCCATCTACACTTTTTTCTCAAAATATACCTCTCTATCCTTCATCTTCCCAATTGTAACTACCAAAATTTCCCTTTCCCTGGTGGCTGCCAATCTCAATAAGGGAAGTAATTATTGTCTATTGTCAAAGTGTATTTTGGGTGATGAAATAATCTGTGTAACAAACCCCCATGACACACATTTACCTATGTAACAAACCTGCACATCCTGCACATGTACCTATGAACTTATAAGTTTTTTAAAAAGGGAAAAAAATTCAAATGTATTCTTAGTTATAAATTACACACAGAATTAAAGCTCCCCAATTAGGAGAACATCCAGTTCTCTCTGACCACTTCATCAAAGAAGAGTTCTGCTTCCAAGATTTTCTGCCAACAACCACATTCGTAGATCAAGCTATGTTTACCACGGTGGAGCAAATCACTACTATTCCTGCACCATCACCACCAAAATGTTTTTATTTGTTTTTTTATTTGAAAAACACAAAAAAGTAAAAATTACCCATAATCCCTTGGTTCTATAATTAAGTAAGAAATAAAAGCCTCCCCCCATCTAATCCAATACCTAGACTTAATCATTGTTAAGACTTCAGAGTATAGCCTTCCCAACTTTTCCTATATTTGTATAACTATGTCTATATTTATATATCTATATGTAGAAATATATAAAATATAAATATTTGGACCTTTACAATAATTTATTGCATTTATTTTCATATTTGTCTGAAATCTTATTTTTTACTTAATATATCATGTATATATTATCTTGTTCTTATTTACAAACCTATTCTCAAAAGAGCACTTACAATTGTCTATGGAACATAGTAAGCATTCAATAAATCTTAGTTATTATTTTCATTATTATTTCCTCCTTTTTCTAATATATGCATACTGTTCCACTTTATGGATACACTTTTCCCTTACCGAGAGGTATTTAACTTGCTTCTAATTTTTTGCTTTTATAAACAGTGCTGCAATGAGTTTCCCTCTTCTTTCTAGGTAATAGATTTCAAAAACTTGGGTGGCTAGGTCAAAATATATAAACATTTAAAATTTTAAAATGTATGCCAAGACATTACCCACAAAGGCTTATACCATTCTACACTTTACTAACAGTGTCTAGGAATGCTCATTTCCCCCATCGTCATCAGCGCTGAGAGTTAGCTTCTTTCCTTAGTTCGTTGGCTGTGTGTGTACATGCACATGTGTGTGAGCCTGCACATGAATGACCTGTTCATACCTTTACTAATTTTCCTAATGGACTGTAGTTCCTCTTATTATTTTATGAAATCTCTCTGCATACTAGTTATATAACTCTTTGTCTACCCTGTGTAATACAAATATTCTTCTCAGAATATCATTTGGTTTGAATATTTGAGGGTAGTTTTTCCCATGCACATATTTTAAATATATGCATACTCAAATTTTTTTTCACTGTGGATTTTTAAATTACATTTTGTTTTAGTTGACAATAATTGTATGCATTTATGTGGTACAATATGATATTTTGATATATGTTTCCATTATGAATGATTAAATCAAGCAATTCCATCACCTCACATACTCATCAATTTTTTTGTGGTGAGAAGATTTAAAATACAATCTTTAAGCCATTTCAAAATATACAATGCATTGTAATTAATTACAGTCACCATTCCATGCAATAGATTACTACATCTTTTTCCTACTCTGTAACTGAAATTTTTTACCCTTGAATCAACAGCTCCCATTTCACCGACCACTCCCAACCTTTGGTAATCATCATTCTACTCTCAACTGCTCTCAGTTCAACTTTTTTAGATTCCACATAAGTGACAGCATGTGGCACTGATCCTTCTGTGCCTAGCTTATTTCACTTAGCATAATGTTCTTCAGGTTCATCCATGTTGCTGCAAATGACAGAATTCCCTTCTTTTTTAAGGCTGAATACTCTATTGTGTGTGTGTGTGTGTGTGTATGTGTGTGTGTGTGTGTGTGTGTGTGTGTGTGTTTACATAACATTTTCTTTATCCACTCATCTGTTGTTGAACACTTAGGTTGCTTTCATATTTAGCTATTATGAATAATGCTACAATGAACGTGGGAGTGCAGATACTTCTTCAACACACTGATGTCAATTCCTTTGGATATACACCCAGAAATAAGATTGCGGAATCATATGGTAATCCTATTTTTAGTTTTTTGAGGAACCAACATACTTTTTTCCCTAATGGCTGTATTAATTTACATTCCCACCAACAATGTAGAAGGGTACCCTTTCCTCCACAGTCTCTTCAACACTTGTTATCTTTTATCTTTTTGGTAATAGCCATACCAACAGGTGATAGCTCCCTTTGGTTTGATTTTCATTTCCCTGACAATCAATGATGCTGAGTGTTTTTTCATGTATCTGTTGGTCATTTGTATCTTCTTTTAAGAAATGCCTATTTAGGTCCTTCACCATTTTTTTCAATTGGGTTATTTGTTTTCTTGTGATTGAGTTGAGTTCCTTATATATTTTGGATATCAGCCCCTTATCAGATGTATGATTTGCAAATGTTTTCTCCCAATCTATGGATTATCTCTTCACTCTACTAACTGTTTCCTTGGCTATGCAGAAGCTTTTTAGTTTGATGTAATCTCATTTGTTTATCTTTGCTGTTGTTGTCTGTGCTTTTGGGGTCATACTCAAGAAAACATGGATTTTTCTCCATGTTTTCTTCTAGTAATTTTACAGTTTATATCTTATGTTTAAGTCTTTAATTCATTTTGAGTTGATTTTTTTATATGGCATGAGATCTATTTCATTCTTCTGAATGTGGATATCCAATGTTTCCAACATGATTTATTGCAGAGACTGTCCTTTCTCCATGTGTATTCTTGGCACCATATTGAAAATCAATTGACTATAAATGCATTAATTTATTTCTGGGCTATATATTCTGTTCATTGGTGGATGTGCCTGTTTTTATTCCAATATCATGCTGCTTTGATAACTATAGCTTTGTAATAGGTTTTGATGTCAGGTAGTGTGATACATCTAGTTTTGATTTTTTGCTCAAAATTGCTTTGGCTCCTCAGGGTTTTCTGTGGTTCCATATACATTTTAAGATTATTTTTCTAGATCTGTGAAAAATAACATTGCAGTTTTGATAGGGATTACATTAACTCTGTATCACTTTCAGTGGTATGGGCATTTTAACAATATTAATTCTTCCCACCCATAAACACAGAATATTTCTCCATTTATTTGTATAACCTTTAATTCCTTTCATTAATGTCTTTTAGTTTTTAGTATACAGATCTTTCACCTCCTTGATTAAACTTATTTTTAGTTTTTTTTAATGCTACTGTGAATGGGACTTATTTCTTAATTTCCTTTTCAGACAGCTCGTTGTTGCTAAAGAAACGCTACCGATTTTTGTGTATTGATTTTGTACCCTGAGACTTTACTGAATTCGTTTATCAGTTCCAACAGTTTTTGGTGGAGTATTCAGGGTTTTCTATGTATAAGATCATGTCATCAGCTAACAAACAATTTCACTTCTTCCTTTCCTATTGGGATGCCTTTTCTTTGTCTTGCCTAATTGCTCTGGACAAGGACTATATTGAATAGAAATGGCATGAGTGAATATCCTCATATTATTCCTGATATTAGAAAGAAAGCTTTCAACTCTTACTGAGTATGATGTTAGTACAGGCTTATAATATATGGCCTTTATTGTGTGTTGAGGTGCATTCTTTCTGTGCCTAATTTTTTTTAGAGCTTTTATCATAAAATGATGTTGAATTTTGTCAAATGTTTTTCTGCATCTACTGAGATGATCATACGGTTTTGTTCTTCATTCTGTTAATGTGATATATCACAGTTGTTGATTTGCTTATGTTGAACCATCCTTGCATACCAGGAATAAATCCCACTTGATAACAGTGAATGATTCACTATAGATTCATATTGGCTTGCTTAGAAAGGGTATGTTATTTTCAGGTTTCTCAACAACATCAGGGTCATCTATATTGGAAGAAGTTATGTTTTGATAGAAAAAAACAGTAATTTGAGATCACACATAGTTGGTTCTCTTGTAAGGACTTTATATTAAATAATGAAGCAGTTACATAGTAATACCCACAACCATGCACTTCTATACCAACCAGAGATTAAATCCATGAATACCACAGACACTAATATATTTATGAGGTTAAGGCACAAGAATCCTTTAAACACAGGAGGCAGAGGTTGCAATGAGCCAAGATTGTGCCACTGCACTCCAGCCTAGGTGACAGAGTGAGACTCTATATCAAAAAAAAAGAAAAAAAAAAGCAAAACAAAAAGAGCAAATCATAAATGAAACAATATACCATGTATGGGAGTTTCTGGCAGTCACTAATGCTGTTCACAAATATCTCCGGCTTTTCTGTACTCCTGGCACATGATAGGATGGCAATTCCCTCCCCTCATTGACATCATATGTGGCTATGTGAATTGCTCTGATCAAGGATATATGACCAGAAACGATGGCTGCCGAAGACTTATGAGCTGCCACAAGACTCACCATGCTGTCCTTTTCCCTCTGCCACAGTGACAGGCAATACCCTAAGTGGTGGGCTGCTCCCAGAACCCAGACCCAGCAGTGAGGATAACACAGAGCAGAGCCTCCAGTAGAACCACAATGAATATGTATCATAAGCAAGAAAGAAATTTTTGATGTTTTAAGACATTGATACTTGGAGATTGT